CGCGCCCAGCTGTCCTGCTGCGACAGGCACGGGTAGCAGCGGGCAGGGGAGGGGAAGTTCTCCGCTGCTTTGTTCTTTACTTCGTTATTCGACGAAAAGAGGTGGTGGGATGTGATTTCACTTCACGGGGATACGTTTACGCCACCTGCTGCAACTGAATCGCTGCGAATTTACGCCCTGTGACAGGGCAAACCCGGTCGGCGTTCGCTGTTTTCATGCAGAACAAGATTTGGTCTTGATCTGTATTTGCTCCCCCTGTAAAGAAGGGCCCGCGGGTCCCTGTCGAGGCCCTTGTTACGGTAGGCAGGGTCACTATGGAGGTCCCGTTCAGGCAGGTTTTTCTTTATTTTAAAGCAGTTCTCTTTTAACCACAATCAGACTTTGTAATAGAAAAGAAAGATGGGATGGGCTTCTTGATACTTCTGGCATTGCCTGCTACTTTAGAATTAGTTTCTTTTTAAGCTGTCCTTTCTCAAAACATCCGTGCAGTGACAGGTTCTCTCTTCCTGAATCTCACTGGTTTGTACTGCGAAGCGAAGAGTTTATAGTTGGAAGAATTGGGTAAAGAAAGTAAGTCTGACAGAAAAAAGAGCGCTCGCCAGCTCAATTACATCAACAGCCCTCATATTAAAACATACTTTCATTGCTATGATTACTAACAATTTTAAACAGCCCGATGTTAGAACTGCAAGCAGGGTTTGAAATTAACTTTGTGCGATTTGTCATCGCAGTGAAATAAATTGGAAGTTTGGAAAAGCACGGTCGTAGGAAAAGATGCAGATAAAATGCGTTTTATCACCGAGGAGTGGATGACTGGGGTAATCAGGGGTTTGTGCAGACCTGTATGGAAATGGGCAAATCAGAAGACAGAATACTGCTGACAGCAGGGGGTATAATTCACTTTACAAACCCAATAAATTATTTAAGCAGTTATTATTCTTGTGTATTTAGAGTTTGTATAGGAGTAATTGAACTGTCAAATAGGTGTTGCAGTGACATTTCTCCAAAGTTACTGTATTATACTTCAATACTGACGCCCCAGTTATGATTTTTAAAAAAAACAACAATAAAAAAGGCCTTTTTGCATTTTGAATCATCAAGCTAGCTTAAGGCATGGAGGGCGATGGTAAAATGTGTTTCCCGGTACTCTTTGTGTAACTTTTCAGTTACAAGTTGCTTTGTTTTTAATACACTGGAACATAACCATATTGGGCGAGATCCTTACCTTGTGTAAGGTAGCATGGTTATATTGAAATCGCTGGCATTTTTTCTTTTTACCAGCTCACTTATATCTCTTTCAGTAAAATGCTGTTTTTGTAACTGTAATCAGTGCGTGGTTATACTTTCAGGTGTTTAATAGAAGTACTGTTTTTCCTTTTCAACTGTCACAAGCTTAACAGCTCACTGTAGTATAAAGTAAATAATACACATTTTAAACCAGGGAACTTCTTTGTTCAGTGCGTGTACTTGCAGCGTAGCAATTTGCATTTTGATTAATAACCCATTTTTAAGGTAATACATATAACCATTTGTAGTCCTTAAACACGGGCAGCTTCTACTGTGATAGATAGACAGGCTTCTCTCATGCCCTGAGAGACCTTGGTGTTCCAGCAGGACTTTAGCTTTTTGACATCTTTATATTTGATTAAAATACAGGAACATTGTTGGAGTAGTGGCTGCTATAAAAGGGTCTAAACCATCATTTTTCACTTTTGTTGTACATGAGGAGTGAATAACTCTGGCTAACTGTGAGGCTTCACAAACATAGTAATGCCTTCACTTTACAGTTTTTTTCTTTATTATAAGTTAGTTCATTTTTGGTGGTCCTCAGAGGTGAAGGTCATAAATCAGCCTGAAATGTTGATAGCCGCATAAAAGTATTTATTTTCTTACTGAAATCTTTGCTACTTTGATTGAAACGTGAAATGTAAGCGATACGCTACAAATTTGCTTTGCATTATGTGCCAGAATTTACTGTCAGTAATCAACAGACATTTAATACAGAGCTACTGTAGAGTACCATAAGAGTATGCACGCATAATTTAAATGAACATCAAACTTTGGCATAAATGAAAAGGGAAAAAAAAAATCTTATATCACGCAGACAAAACAAACAGACATATTCTTCCATGTTATAACAACTAAGATGTCAAAATAGATAGGTTGTTGAGGAAACACATGTCTTCGCTTAATAGATGAGGTGGAATTAAAACACCTGCAAATTACTGCCGTGGGTATGCTGAGAAGACAGGCTGCAAGGCTGTCATTCCCAGAAGTACAACTTTTTATGGTGATATTTTGGGGTATTGGAGATAAAAATGTCAGTGCCCAGGGAGGTGTGGAGAGAGATGGATGAAATACTCAGCCTGGTCTGCACTTTTGGCATGCTAGAGAAGTTCTGCTTGTTTTTTTTTCCTCCTAACACAGAGAGAAATAGGTAAACACAGACAATGTTTTGGGCTTTCTTTTTTAAACATGTTTAAGGGCTTAGTCTTTGGGAAGCAGTTTTTAACTTTTTGTTCGTTTTGCGTTCTGGCACAACAAGCAAATCACTGTTTGATAGTAATGCACATGTTATAAATATCACTGTTATTGGTAGCTCATGTATTTTTAGTATGAAATATTGACTGCCCAGTGTTTGCCCAGTTATGTGTGTGCGGATATATCTGTCTGTCTGTGAGAACACAGAAGATGCAGAGTTTAGTGGGTTTTATTAGCCTGGTGAAGAGATTGTTTCAATGGCCTGACACATAGCAAGTATTAAAAGACTCCTGATAGGATCCCCAAGAAGTGTGGGGGGAAAAAAACCCCTTCCTTATTTAGAGAGTGTCAGAATATCTACAGTATTCCCTAAGTATGCATTTACATGTGTGTCTGAGCTCATTAAAATTGTTAATTGCAGAAGAAAGTTCATAATTCTTGCTTTTGCTTTATTAATAATGGGCCAGTACAGTTTTCCATGTTCACTTGAAGCTTCTGTTGATGTCTGTAGCTGTTTAGAGCGTGCCTAGAATGCAGAATCAGGTCCATTTGAAATACTTTGCATATAAATGAAGTTGCTTTGCTTCATTTAATTGGCTGATTTGGCTTTGTTGCACTAGTGCAAATCCACTGATAATATGGAATTTTGTTGGATTAACACTGGAATACCTGGCACCAACTTTTAACCTTCTGTTTAGCAGCCTTATGCAGCATTATGATTTTAGTAATCCGCCTTTTACAATAAGACAAGAAAAATGCGGTATGATGAATTCCTTCAATAATTGCTAGCCAAATAGGGCTTCTTATTTTAGACAAAAGATCAGCGGTAACTGCTTCAGTGGTGGAAAAAATTTTCAGTTTTTTTTAAAAAAACTAGTCTTATTTGAAAGAGGTGATAATTTCACCGGAAAACATATATCTAGTTCTATATGGCATGGATGTACTATAGCGAGATAAAAGTGTAACATTTCAAGAAGTTTATTTCTTCATTGTTTTTTTTATAAAATAATGCTCCAAAATATGTATAAAACCCAAGAAGTTTTAGAAAAAGTTAATTAGATACTTTATTTTCCTTATCAGCTACCTGTTTATTTTGTCCCTTGGCATATTGTAGAATAATGCTTACAGAATGATTAATAATAGGTGGCACCATTTTCATTATACCAAATCTATCCACCCATCCTCTTCCCTCAGAGGAATAACAGATGATTAGTCAACCTCTCAAATTCTGATAAATGTTTACCTTGTATCTAAAATTGCATGGTTATTTCCACTGATGGAACCTTGCAAAATGAGATGTGAATCGATACAACTCAAAAAGCCTACATATGGGCTACCTTTACAGTTGCGTACTTGGCTTCTAGTCATTTTCTCATCCTGCATGCCTCCTGAAAATATTCTTATCGAACCCCGTAATTCAACCTTTTAAGTGTAGCTTCTTGTTTCTGCAAAGAGATCATTGCACATGGGTTTTCTCCAAATATGTAAATACGAGTCTCTACCCAGAAAGGTTCCTGTTCTCTATCTGGATTAAAACCTCTTCAGTTCCAGAGAAAACAGTTACAGATTTTTATTGTCAAAATAAAGCCTTCCCATGCTCTACGGTGGCATAATAAATGTCTTTTCCTCCTTCACAGATCTTTTCATGATTTGACCCATTAACTGAGAACATCGATTTGTTCTCTACAAAATACACTAGAAAAGAAAAGCACATGTAGGAGAACAGTGAGCTACTCTCTGCTTCTTTAATCATTTGCTTATATTTGTAATTCTGCAAAGCTCACAGAATGGTTCTTTGGACTTGCACAGTCACAGCAGTGCTGTATAGTAGTGTGTCTCTATGTGGGGCACTATGTGACCCTAAGTTCTCATGCCCAAAAAAAGGCAAAGTGCCCTGTCGGTGTCTCAGGGCAGAGTGAACTCCCTGAAGGCTGTTAAATCCTGGTTTGAACTGAGGACTGCTCTTGTTTCACACTGTATAACCAATATTGGATATTTTTTTTCCCACATATTGATGAATAAAACTGCTAGAACCTGAAGTTTGATACAAGCCAAGGGATTATTTATTTAACGTCAGTGTGGTGTCTGCAAATTTGTAGACCATTACTTTACATCAAGTGCGTTGCAGTACAGGCAGTAAGAAAGTGATAAAGCAGTGTTCAAACACTGTATACTTTGTACAGTTTATTCCTCCCCGCCTCCCCTTCCCCCCCTTTAAACCCCAGTAGTCAAGCAGTACCTTACTTGGTACACCTGTGAATCAAGCCCTGTGCACAGTTAGTAACTGCTCTGTTATTTTGTTTGCTTCTTTTCTAGGTTTCTTGGCGTTACGCAGTTTTCTCCTACTCATGCCAGAAAAGCCTTTCCTTGCTTTGACGAGCCCATCTACAAGGCCACTTTCAAAATCAGCATCAGGCATCAAGCAACTTACTTATCTTTGTCCAACATGCCAGTTGAAACTTCTGTTTTTGAGGAAGATGGATGGGTTACAGATCACTTTTCACAGACCCCTCTCATGTCCACGTATTACCTAGCTTGGGCAGTGTGCAATTTTACATACCGGGAAACTGTCACCAAGAGTGGAGTAGTTGTAAGTATTTCTGATGTTGTATCAAATACATTTCATTATTTTGAAACCCCTCACTTTTTGTAAGGAATCATAATGTCAAGTACTTGAAGTATTTTCTTGATTAGCATTCCTAAAATTTGCCAGTTTACTTAATGATAGCATGTATTGTTTGGGACCTTTTCTTAAGGTTTGTCTAACATTTTTGGTTTGTCTGATAGTTTTTGTAACTGGTTAGCTTAGTAGGTGTGGTTGTCTGATGACATTTTAAACTTTTAAGTATGCCACTTCACTTTGATTTTCTTGGGAAGTTTTCTCTTGTTTTTCTTGTAGCCTTTTTGATACCAGGGTTCGCTGGACTATTTATTAAAAGAAAGCAGTAATACTGGCAGCATTTTCAGCCTCCTTCCTTCAGTACTGACATGTTCCTTGGTGTGCTGCGTGCTAGCTCAGGAGGCTGATAAAGTAATTTCTGTCTTAGAGCTCTTGTTTAGGAGCAGGACTTTACAACCTATCAGTTTCCTGTGGAGGTCCAGACTGATGAAAGCACTAACTTTCAAATGGAGCTGTTGTTTCCAAATATGGCATGATTCCAGGCGTTATGGCATGGAAAAAGAGAGAGAAAATCCTTTATTTATGTCAGTTTTGGTTTTGTTTACAAATATCAAGCTCAGAACTGTATAACAAGCCAAACCATACATGAGAAATGCTGTCAGCTTAATAGAATATTTCACAGTGCTGTCATCTTGATTTTTCAGGTGAACATACAGAGAAACCCTTCCTTTTTAGTTACTGTGAATAAAAAAAAAAATGGAAATAGTTCTGGAAGCAGAGGATTAGGTGGCAGTTTAAGCTGTGTGCCTGAGCAAAGGGGGTGCTTACCTTCTACTTCTGCAAACGCTCTGTGACTTTGTGCTGTAGCCTGAGGGCATGAGGAAGGATTGCAGGCATCCCTTCCATGGCTGATCAGGTCAGGAAACATCTCCATAACCACTTTTAGCTATCCTGAGCATTGAGCTGCTGTGGAGGGAGCTGATCTCACCTTCTCTGAGCCAAAGGTATTCTTTGCCTTCCTTGTGCCAGCCTTCAGCTCTGTACAGGTGTATGATCTGGCTGAAAACTGACCTGAAAAAATGAATGAAAATGTAATTTTCCAACCAAATCAGTTCTCTGATCCAGCTTTTTGTGCAACTGCCAGAGCCTTAGTACGGATTCAAGGCTGTGCTGATGGAAAGTGGACCCAGGACAGCCCTCTGCACTGGCATCCCTCATTTAGGCCGTACTGAAGTGATCAGGAAGTAAATCGTGTTGTCACTGGAACAGCTGGGTAGGACATGGAGGGCCTTGCACTCCTTTACAGCCCTTTCATACCATGGCCAGCAGACCATCACACTAGCCTCTGGCCCCCTGAAAGGGGAGAAGGAAGCATGGCTAGGAAATGGTTCTCTGAGGTGCTTTAACCTCTGAGTGTAAGGATGTGAGAACTGCTGAGGCCATGTGTGCAGTCCCAGTGGTTACCTTTCGATGGCTGAAAGCCTTTGGGTTTGTGTTTTTTGTGCAGGGTTTTTTTTGGCTGGTGTGTTTATGGTTTTTGGGTTTTTTTTGTGGTGGGTTTTTTTTGTGGTGGGTTTTTTTTGTGGTGGGTTTTTTTTTTGTTTTTTTTCTCCTTGGCTAGGTTGTTTCTCTGTCTCTTCAGTGAATTGAGTTAATTTACAAAATCTCACAAGTGCCAAGGCAAAGAAGTAAGGAGGGAGGAGTGGATGCCTGGTTCTTAGTTCCTAGATTAGGTTGCTCAAAGCCCCATCCACCCTGGTCTTGAGCACTTCCAGGGAGGGGGCATCCACTACTTCTCTGGGCAACCTGTTCCAGTGTCTCACCACCCTCACAGTAAAGAGTTTCTTCCTAATATCTAATCTAAATCTACCCTCTTTCAGTTTAAACTATTACCCCTTGTCCTATCACTACACTCACCGATAAAGAGTGTTCACTGGCCTAGTAGAACTGGGTGAGATATCAGGCTATTTCTTACTCCCTATCAACCAATACTGAAACAGACTTCTGTCCAGGTAAGAGTTGATGCTTTTCATTGTAATGTACTCCACCTGCTGAAGGATTTAGTCTTAAGCTAAGAATGACCTGGTATTTTCAGCTTTAGAAAACACTGGTTACTTGAGGTTCTCCTTTAAGGTGTAAGTTTTTGGCATATACTCTAATAGGTAGGTCTTGTGTTCCTCATGCTCCAATACAGTGTAACGCTTGCAAGTTTGTCCTACATAATACTACCCCATTACCTCACTTTGAAATGTTCTACACTCATCTGAGAAACAGCTGTAAGCAGTTCAGCTTCCAACATCAGTGTAAGCAAATACATGAAACGGGGGGGGATGGACCTCAGGACCATCAATTTGAAAGATACAACCTACTTCCTCTTTAACTAATTTTCTTGTAGTATTATTCAAAGCTTTCATCCTGCAGACTTTTGCTGCTTGAGTATGTTTGACACCCTGAAGACAGAGGCACACTCATGTCTTATAAACAATAATTGATAACTTCCTGCTGTTATTTGGCAAAACTGTTCTCAAGACTTAATAGGAATCCAAAGAGAACATCCAAGTATTAATTTGTTGTTAATTTGTGGCCTGATAGCTATGTTTGGGTCTGTTGGTTCAGTGCATGTAGGACATCATACAAATGTATATTCCACCAGCTTGACAGTACCACTTCGCCAACGATTATAGAAATCGGTGGATAACCTTCTCAAAAACTTGAAGACCAGAAGCCTGGTTGAGATAGTCTCTTATCCCATAAAATTGTTTGGTTAATCTAGAGTTTTAGCTCTTGTTTTTTCTAGTGCTCCTATCATAGAGGTATGTTAATGCCCAGGAATACCAAAATAGTTTATACTGAGGTATTGGTTAAATATATTTTGCTGTTTTTTAGTCTACCTGATAATCTTTCATTGTTGTTCAGTTCTGTTGTAAGAATATCTTTCAAGGTATGAACTCATGGCAAACACTTTAGAGTTGTGTTCATTTGGATGAATTGCTGAGGTAATCCATCTTTTTGAGCCTTTCATGTTGCAGTGCCAGGAGTTCATGGACACTACTGGGTGAATTTGAAATTGCCTGAAACCTGGCACATGAAATTCTAAACTTGGTTTCCTCTGAAGTCACTTTTTCACTACAATTTAGCTGCTCCCATATCCATGCCAATGAATGTAAATGTATCATAAGAGTAAGTTTGCTTCTAAAACCAAATGAATGTTTAGGAAAATTATCCAAACTCCCATATTAAAGCATCTTGGTAGGCCATTTCTTGCGTTGGGGAATCTTACTTCAATTAATGCAGTGTATATTGTATTTATTTTGTAGACGTATAGTAGACACCTAGAAGACTTCAGTTTGCATATACTTTTGCTTTTGTTTTGGCACTATCTTGAACCTGGTTTTGGTTCACAAAGCGTGTTTGTGTGTGTGTGTGTGTGTGAAGGGGCAGGGAAGTGTCCTTTCAAATTTTGACAGCATGCTAATGACTAAAATCTCACCTCTTTTCCAGCTGACCAGCCTTACTAAACTGCTGTGGTCAAGGGTAGATAAACTCCCTGAGGAATAAAAGAAACAGTGTGATTAAAAGCAGGTTTGTTCCTCAAAAATGGTTAAGAGTTAGCTGTTTGGTTTTTCTCAAAGAATGACATTGACCTCAAAATTAATTTTAACCTAAGTGTGAGATTCAAATACAAATCAAGTTATAAATAGAAACTGACTTTTGGAAAGCTTAGGTAGCCAATCAAAATAGTAATTTTGATATATCCTGTATAATTCTTGCACACATGAAGATGTTCTGTTTCATACACTAAAATGAATTTGGAAAGGGGAATTAAGACAAGCAATGCTTTTCTAGGAGCACAGATCAGTGGATGTGAATCATTAGCATAACTCTTTAATCCATATGGGACTGACCAGAATCCCTTCCAGAGAAGGTAATTTAAAATCAATGTTGACTTCCTATATGCATTACAGATATACAGTATGTTGTTCAGATTCATCTGGGATTACAGGCAATAATTCAAATCACTTGATTCTTGTGGAAAGGACTGTGGTGCCATCATCTATGCTGCTGCGGACTAGGGAGCAGTATAGTTCTACCAGGGTGCTGCCTGAGGTAATGCTGTATTGAGGGAGGAGGGGTGCCCTTATGAGCAGACTTACCTGATCTTTGTATGGCCCCAGACCCGCTGCAGCCGTGCCAGCTGTAGTTGGTGAAAATCACGGGATCTGTGTGCTGTCATCTTTGCACAGTACAATAATCCAGAAAGCTCCAGTTACCTTCACATGCCTGCTTGCTTCTGCTCGTATGTTGTGTTTCCTAATTGTAGCTCTTATGTACGTTCTTTGTCAGCAGTTCTTAAAAGCAAAATATTGCTGGCTGGATTGTAATGTCTGTCACATCATCTCTGTGTCTCCTTCCTTCATTGTTGCCCTTTC